GTCAGTTCAATTATTCAAATTTTGAAATCTTTTAAAGTTCGTTATAAAAGATGTAAAATTCATTATATTTAACCTCAATGGGACTCAAAATCAGTTCGCTATATCCGTAAATTCGTTATATCAGAGTTCGTTATAACCGTAAAATTTTACAAAGATTTGTTAAGAATTTTGCCGGGGACCCAGAAAAACTTCGTTATATCCGTGAATTCGCTATATCCGTGTTCGTACTAAACGTGTTTTACTGTATATAAAACTTTGATCGGCCATTTTGGCCCCACCCTACCTCTGGGGGTCATGATTTGAACAAGCGTGAATCTACACTACCTGAGGATGATCCCACATGAGTTTCATCTTTCCTGGCCCAGTGGTACTTGAGAAGAAGATTTTTAAAGATTTTCCCTATATATTCCTATATAAAACTTTGATCTGCCATTTTGGCCCCACCCTACCTCTGGGGGTCATGATTTGAACAAGCGTGAATCTACACTACCTGAGGATGATCCCACATGAGTTTCATCTTTCCTGGCCCAGTGGTACTTGAGAAGAAGATTTTTAAAGATTTTTCCTATATATTCCTATGTAAAACTTTGATCGGCCATTTTGGCCCCACCCTTCCCCCGAGGGTCATGATTTGAACAAACTTGAATCTACACTACCTGAGGATGATCCCACATGAGTTTCATCTTTCCTGGCCCAGTGGTACTTGAGAAGAAGATTTTTAAAGATTTTTCCTATATATTCCTATGTAAAACTTTGATCGGCCATTTTGGCCCCAACCCTACCTCTGGGGGTCATGATTTGAACAAACTTGAATCTACACTACCTGAGGATGATTCCACACGAGTTTAATCTTTCCTGGCCCAGTGGTTCTTGAGAAGAAGATTTTTTAAAAATGCCATTAATTTTTCTCTAATTCATAATTATCTCCCCTTGGAAAAGGGCCTGGCCCTTCATTTGAACAAACTTGAATCCCCTTCACCCAAGGATACTTTGTACCAAGTTTGGTTGAAATTGGCCCAGTGGTTCTTGAGAAGAAGATGAAAATGTGAAAAGTTTACAACAACGACAACGACGACGACGACAACGACAACAACGACGACAACGACAGACAACGGACAAATTGTGATCAGAAAAGCTCACTTGAGCCTTTGGCTCAGGTGAGCTAAAAAGTAGGTCACAGTGACCTACTTTTTCATAAATATGTTTTAATTAGGTCCCAAGATGCATCAAAGTACAAGATTTGATGATTCTAAACCTCCCAGTGTCTGAAATAATGGGATTTAATGTTTTTAAAAAGATAAGTCATATAGTTCAAAAAGTAGGTCACAATGACCTAATTTTAAGTTGACATTGTTCGAGGACCTAAGATGCATCAACTGACAAAGTTTGATGATCATAGGCCTTAAAGTGTCCAAAATATGCCTTCAAATCAATTTGAAAACAAATCCCCACAAAATTTAAAAAGTAGGTCACCGTGACCTACTTTTGAGTTAACATGATGTGAAGTCGTAAGATGCATCAACTTACAAGATTTGATGATCCTAGTCTTTATAGTAAGCAAAATATACACGTTTTTATTAATTGTAAATTTAGGTCAACTTTGAAGTGACCTTGAGACCACGCCCTTTGCCCCAGGGTAATTCCCCATGCAAATTTTAATCTTCGACATATCCTGATCCTTGTTTGTAAGATTGGTGAAAATCTGCCAGGTGGTTATGGAGAAGAAGATTTTTTAGCAAACAGTACTTTTGGTTTTGTTTTCCTGATTATCTCCCCTTGTTTAAGGGTCCCAACCCTTATTTGAGTATAAATGGTAGCCCTTGGGCCAAGGATACCCTGTGAAAAATTTGGTACTGATTGGCCAAGGGGTTCTTGAGTTATGGCCCATATTCTAAAAAGTTTACGCACACCGCACAAATGGCCATAGCATTAGCTCTTTGAGCCTTTGGCTCAGAAGAGCTAATAAAAGTTGAAAATACGTTTACAAACACAGTACCACCACATTTTAATCACTATTGAAATAACACCTACCATTTTAATAAACTTAATACTAACTTCCCTAAAGAATTTGGTTTTTAATGTCTTGACGAGTAGGCATTGTCTTTACTATCCGTATTTGTAGTGTAGGTAATATCCCATGACTGTGAGCAACAATTTAGTTCTATTCTAAATTTTTTTTATTAAAAGTATCCATATTTTCATCAGAAAGTTTGTACAAATCAAAGTACTCAGAAGTACAGAGAGCCGGGCTCATTTACAGAGTAGAATGGATTTCTTACATGAATCGATCACGTTTATATTCTGATGAAAAAATTATTTTAAAACTATCAATATAAATGATAAGACACTGAAAGTGAGTTTTTCAATCCTAATACCACGGTCCGATTTTGTCACAATCAGAATTAATCTGGTACCGCAGCTGAATGTAAACAAACAGGCCAGTCTGTTTCCCTCTCCTGCTTTACCTCGTATGTGTAGAGAACTACGGTAACACTGATTATCAAAAATCCTTACGCTAATGAACTATGTTCTTTGACTTATGAAGTTTTCAAAGTCATTACTACAAATGTTTATTTTATATAGATAAAACTTCGTTTTATTTTTGTTGCTTTATTTAGCGTTTGTATTATCTCAAAAGCGGTTGAGAGTAAGAACTATATTTTTGCACGTAACTTTAAAATGGCAACTATTGGGTTAACATCCTGCCTTGAACAGGATCACATAAGCCGGCAATTGCTCTTTGAGCAATAAGCCCTGCTAAAAATTATCAGTCTTCTTCCTTCATTTCAATGTAATTAAAATATTCAAATTTCTACATCTATATGTGTTTATAATCCTTTCCTTTCAAAATCAATGACAAAAATGAACTTTATGTACAAAATTTTCTACAAATAAAGTGCCACGCCACAGCATGATACGCCCCTCAAAAAAATTACAATTACAATGTATCTTAAACAGTTAAAAGTGCAGGAAAATCATGTCAACCTTGATTTTAAGATTTCAATGATTTTTACACACCTTAAAAAATTTGTTTGTCCATCTCCTGTGGTGTAGGCATTAATTATAACAAATATTGCATCATTCATAGATTTCTATACCTTGCCAAATGCCTATCATATTAAACAATATCAAATTAGTCTTCACAACTTAATCTATACCTAATTAATTTTGGAAATAAAAGGCTGGCCATCAAATATAAACTAACCAACAGTTCTTCTGTCTAATTCCCGAAGGATACAGATAAGACCATGCTCTGAAGAAATGAAAGAGACATGCAGGTAGCCTTCCTACATTGAACACATTAATTAATCTTTAACTGGATGCTTGTCTACTCATTACTCCCAAAAGATTATTGGATCTGCACTAGCTACCATTAAACATTTTTAAAACATATAAAACATCAAGGACTTTTTTTTTTTAGATTTAATGTCAGACAGTTAATTGTTAATATGCAATTCATATGTACATGCAGATTCCACCCCTACCCCCATAAAATTAATTTTTAAGTTCATAATATTATGTAATATCAAAATAGTTTAATATGCAATATCAAATTTGTTTTAATTACTTCTCATCAAATTCATTTTAAAACTTCGGCTAGCCAACAAGAGCTATTTTTAATCCAACAGGCTTACCCATTTGGCCCAATACTCAAGGGATATAGATAGCACCGATGCTCTTACAGCCACTCCTCACACTAAACTCATTAATTTCTCTCTCTAATTTGACATGCAATTTTCTGTTATCAAAATTCTTCTTGACCAGTGCTTGATAATTAGACTCGTGGGAGTGGTGGAATTTCTCTAATATACATTATATTTGTTACAGATTGATGTCAAGTATATGCTAAAAAAATAAGTATTTTCTTGATTTATCATTTTTCTAATAAGTTTAGTGCAATAGTTTTACATTTTTTTTTAATGTGTAAATGAATAGAATTCCACTTAAATCAAAGGTCACAGTGACCTTGAAATAGGTCTCAACACACCTTCTACCTAAGATGCATAAACTGGCCAAGTTTGATGATTCTAAGTCTAATAGTTTTCTAGTTATGGACCGGACAGGATTTTTCCATATTTGGCTATAACTTTTTAATTATAGGTCAGAGCGACCTACTTTTTGTGCGCGACACACCTTCTACCCAAGATGTATCAGCTGACAAAGTTTGATAACTCTAGGCCTTATAGTATTAAAGTTATGAGCCGGACACGAGAAAAGCTAACAGACGGAAGGACGGACGGACGGACAGACGGACACGAAGCCTATAACATAATACGTCCCGTCTTAAGACGGGCGTATAAAAAGGAATACAAAACTTTAGCAATATTTTAAACCAGTAAATTAGCTTATTGTGTTAGAAAACATATGTGTAATTTGTTTTAATATTTGCGATACTTCTATACAGCTTGCAATGTTGTTTTGGTATTGAAATCATTGTCAGCAACTATTAATTATTTTAATATCTATAGGAATCATTCTTTAAAGCACTATTAAAATCAGTATTTCAATCACTTTTGAAATCTATATGTTAATCACTAATGAAATATTTATTTCAAAAGTGAACATTATTTCAACAGTGGTTACAACCTATGTTTGGTATTGAAATGCACTCCAAACCACTATTTAAATAATTATTTCAATAGTGGTCATAATTCAATAGTGGTTGCATACTATGTCTGTTATTGACATGCACTCTCAACCACTACTGAAATAATTATTTCAATAGTAGTCATATTTCAATAGTGGTTGCAACAACCCCACTCTAGTTTTGTCTAATCTTGATTATCCCCCCTTGTAGGGGGATTAGGCCTTTTTTAAAACTAATTTAAACTGTCCTTCCCCCAAGGATGCTTTGTACCAAGTTTGGTTAAAATTGGCCATGTGGTTCTTGAGAAGAAGTTGAAAATGTGAAAAGTTTACAGATGGACAGACAGACTCAAAATATTCTTATAATTTGGTTCATCATACATGTACAATGTATATCAGAATGCAAAACTTGCTGAATATTGAAACTTGTTTTTAATAACAGGAAAATATTGTGTTCTTCCATGCATGCCTTTTAGGTATACAAATACATGTACAAACAATTAATCAATATAACAGCCTGCATGGTTATGCTTAATTTATACAGGAATGGCATAAAAAGTAAAACAAAAATGTATTAATGTGTATAAAATCTTCAATGAAAGTATCAAGTCTCTCCATCCTGTTCTTCAACTTGCACCTGAAAAAACCATATAGGTATTCAAAGATTACAATGACAAAGTGCAAGGACAAGTGCACTTAAGCAATGCTTAATGGGCCCTTTTTATGTGCCATTTTACTTTAGAATATATAACCAAATCATTCTCTTTTGGTAATAATTAGATACTAGTGGATATTTCTAATTAAAAAAGCATGTTCAGCATCAAGTAAATCAGCATGGATTTGAAACAATTGAATATTTTTAAATGCCCATGGATACCCTAAATCCGGAGAAGTCGTATCGAACTTTCTTTGACTTTCGTTTATGTAAATCAAGGGGAATAGATATTTAATCGAAACTTGACCAATCTGATGGTGGATCAAAGTCGGGCGCGTTTGCGGAATGTTACGTTTTGTGCCAAATCTGTTAATTAAAAAATTGAATGAAGTTGTGTGATCCTGTAGCCATAATGATCAAACTAAGAAATTGGTACTCTTGCATTTAAAAAAAAACAATAATAGTTTCACTGAATTTGAAATTAAAAAGGAGAGTTTTAGGTGGCTTTTAATACCTGTTTCATTGTCTTGCACGAATGTTAAATATATCTGTCACTTTTATGAATGACAATAATACCCTCCCGTGTTCATACAGATATTTCTAAGCAGCACGACTTTGACTAAATGATACAAAACCTGCTGATGTTTTACGGTGAGCACCTTTGAGCAACGTTTACCTGGGTAGAACTCACGTGACCATAAGTATTTTAAATAATTTATTCCACACGTGGGTTCAACATGGGTCATACAGGTAAATAGATCTCACTTGCTATAGGAAAAACATGGTACTTTTTGTACATTTTCATTATTTTAAGTACCAGCCTAATCGTGTACAAATTTCCTTTTTTCACACAAGTTTTATAAATGTATTATGTGTCTTTTGTCATTCACACAAGTTTGTACAAAGTTAGGCTCATAATAAACAAAAGCTTTGAAATGAATGACCGTTCTCGATTTACTATAGTAAATCACAAATGTCGGCTGACCCCTACCACATTCTATGGTTTTGTTCTTGGTATATTCGTGGATTTCAGTGGTAAAATTTGTTGAACGTACGGTTTAGATATCAATTAATGATTTGGGATGAAAAAGTTTGCTTAATTTGATTGTTTATTTTTCCACATTTTACCGGGGCCCATAAGTGCACTCGTCCTTTAATCAGCATTCATAATTCAATTCTTTTATATTTTTTTATTAAGTGTGCATCCTTCGATCAATATCCATGCAGTTGGGATTTTCACATATAGTTTCCTGGGAGTGCACAGACCTGCTCCCAAAACTATAACTTGTTCACAAATCAAGAAAATGTCATTTAGTTTCAACATTCAAATCAAGTCTGGAAGTGTTCATCCTTAGATGCATCTTCCTTGCACGTTAACTCATAACATGCTTTATACAGCTACTCTAAAAACAAAATATCCTGGTCACTGTCGGTCTGATTCAGCAACCAAGGCAAGTCTGGAAGTGTGCATGAATGCATCATTCATGTTAATTTGGTTAAACTATGGCTAAAATTCACATATCTATGAAATGTATGTCAGATTCAGCATCCAAAGCAGGTTTGTTACATTCCTAGATGCATCATCCATGCAGGTTTTGACCAGGTAGATTGGGATTTATCAAAAGAGATGCAATTTAACAAAAATATCATATAAAATAACCCTGTATACTACATGTGCATGAGTTTTACTGACGTTATATCAGTAAAGTAACATAGAAGATTAAAGTTTATGCATATTCGTATTGCACAATGGAGCAAATAATTATTGGCTGCTTGAATAGCCAAGCCAGAACAAACCTTGACAAAAGGGTGATCTAGAAGTTCTGCTGCTGTACTCCGCTCCACCGGGTCACTTCTAAAGCACTGGACCAGGAAATCTTTACCCTCTGCACTTAAACTTTCTGGAATTTGGGGTTTTCCTCCCATGCCCACTTTGAACATGATCTGTGCACTATTTTCTAGTTCATGCCAAGGTCTCTAAATCATTAAAAAAAAGAAACAGATCTGAGTGACACTGGCATAGTATATTTTTTTTAATATTTATCATCAAGTATTTTATGTGTTACATAATTATATAATAGTGTTGTACTTTGCATGCACTATGCCTAAATAATAGTCAGGGGTTGACACATGGTGCACGAGCCAGAGGCGGTGACCTTAATTAGATTGCCGAAAACCCAATATGCATCAACTGACAAAGTTTGATGATTCTAAGCCAATAAGTACACAAGATACTTAAATATGGCCATTAAATGTCAAAAGTAAGTCACTGTGACCTACTTTTAGGTTGACGTTCACCAAAAAATCAGAATGCATCAACTGACAAAGTTTTAAGACTCAAAGCCAATAAGTTTGATGATTTTAAGCAAATAAGTACCTGAGATATTCAAATTTGATTTTGGTCGAATTTCTCTGAAAACCCAAGATGCATCAACTGACAAAGTTTGATGATTCTAAGCCAATAAGTACCTAAGATACTTAAATATAGACATAAAATATGGAAAGTAGGTCATCGTGACCTAAATTTTGGTCGACGTTTTCCGAAGACCCAAGATGCATCAACTGACAAAGTATTGTCATAGCTATGACATAGCTCTGAAAGTATTCAAAATATGCATTTTAATCAATTTGAAAACAAATGCCTGCAAAATTCAACAAGAGGCCCAGGGGCCACACTTGAGCACATTGGCTAGGAAAAGCACAAATCAGAGCAGAACTGAAAAATTTACTGAGGTGGGTGGTGGTGGTGGTGGGGGGTGGGGCTTGAATTTCCATACTACATGTACTTGAGAATGCCTTCATATTAATACAGCACATGTTTTTGCTGTTCTTGATAAAAAAAAAATTTTAAAACATTTTCTTCCTTATATATATTACTTTGTAATAATTTGAATTTGATTCCCCATTGTTTCCCTCCCTACCCCAAAGGGCCATGATTTTAATAAATTTAAATCTTCAATACATGAGGATGCTTACAAGTCAAAATGACTAAACATAGCTTTTTTGTTCTTGGGATTTTTCCCTTTATTTTTCTATGTAAAACTTTGATCCACCCTTGTGGCCCCACCCTACCCTTTCGGATTATGATTTAAACAAATTTAACTCTACACTACCAGAGAATGCTTCCATATAAATGCTAGTATCACTAATCATGGCTTTGGTATTCTTGAGTAGAAGATTGTTTAAAATATTTTACTGTAAAACTTGGATCCCTCCATTATGGCCCCACCCTATCCCTGGAGGGGTTATGATTTGAGCAAACTAGTATCTACACTACCTGAGGATGCTTCCATTTTAATATCACTAATCATGGCTTTGCAGTACTTGAGAAATTTTTTTTTAAAGATTTCCCCATATATATTCCTATGATCGACCATTGTAGTCCCATCCTACCCCGGGGGTCATGATTTAAACAAAATTGAATGTACACTACCTGAGGATGATTAAACATAAGTTTCATCTTTCCTGTCCCTATGGATCTTGAGAAAAAGATTTTTAAAGATTTTTCCTATATATTCCTATGTAAAACTTCGACTGGCCATTGTTGTCCCACCCTACCCCTGGGGGTCATGATTTGAACAAACTTGAATGTACACTACCTGAGGATGATTCAACATGAGTTTCATCTTTCCTGTCCCAATGGTTCTTGAGACTAAGATTTTTAAGAATGCCATTAATTTTTCACTAATTCATAATTATCTCCCCTTGGAAGAGGGCGTGGCCCTTCATTTGAACAATCTTGAATTCACTTTACCCAAGGATACTTTGTAGAAAGTTTGGTTGAAATTGGTCCAGTGGTTCTTGAAAAGAAGATGAAAATGTGAAAAGTTTACAACAACAATGACGACAACGACGATGACAATGACGACAACAGACAAATTTTGATCAGAAAAGTTAACAAGAGGCCCATGGGCCTTATAGGTCACCTGAGTATCATGTAACAACTTTCCAACAATTGAATTTGGATCGCGTTTTAAACCCGAGATCATAAAATTAACAATTTTGAAAGAGGCACCATTGCTTATCAAAACAATAAACTAAGCATACTTATTCTATTTACTTAATACCCAAAGGTAGATCAGATTAACAAAGAGAAAATGCACTTCCACTTTATAACTAGTTATGCAACCCACCCCAAAGGAACCACTGACCCTGGGGCAACATATTTCAAAATTTTGGAAACTTATCATAAATTTTATTTCATCATAAATGGTTGATTAATACCAAAGAGCAGATTTCAAAGCATTAATTAATTTTCAGACTATGTACTCCCCCCCCCTCCAATACCTGGGGCTGGGGCCAAAATAATCACAATTTTGGAAGAAAAACTCTTGCTCATCATAACTATGTACTTAGTTTATTAATACCCAGGAGAAGAGAAGAAGATTTTCAAAGAAATAATGCATTTTCACTATATAAACAATAGAGCCCCATCCTAACACCAGAACCCCTGACCATAGGGCCATAAAATTCACAATTTTGGAAGAGGCACTCTTGCTCATCATAACTATGTACTTAGTTGGTCTATTTAATACCCAGGAGAAGAGAATAAGATTTTCAAAGAACTATGCATTTTCACTATATAATCAATAGAGCCCCACCCTAACACCAGAACCCCTGACCCTGGGGCCATAAAATTCACAATTCTAGAAGAGGCACTCTTGCTCATCATAACTATGTACTTAGTTAGTTTATTTGATACCAACGATCAGAGGAGAAAATTTTCCAAGAATTAATGCATTTTCACTATATAATCAATAGAGCCCCGCCCTAACACCAGAACCCCTGATCCTGGGGCCATAAAAATCACAATTTTGGAAGAGGCACTCTTGCTCATCATAACTATGTACTTATTTAGTTTATTTAATACCCAGAAGCAAAGGATATAAGATTTTGAAAGAAATAATGCATTTTCACTATATAATTTATATAGCCCCACTCTAGCACTAGAACCCCTGACCCTGGGACCATGAATTTCACAATTTTGGTAGAGAACTCAATGCCCATTACATTCATGCCAAAAGTTTGCCTGCTTGATGTCCAGGAGTATAAAAGATTTTTAAAGATTTCATTAATTTTAGTGGTTTTGGCCCCACCCCTCAGGCCCCAGGGGGGCGGGGACCATAACATACTTGCCAACCTCCAGCATGTAAAAATCTGGTCATGACCAGATTTGGAAAGTAAAAAATCTGGTCATAACGTGTAACGACATTCACCACATATTTACCATGATTAAATTTTATACATATATATACAAAGTATTTGTGTATTGAGAATTCTTTTATTGAAAAAGGATTTAATTTACTATGACAAAAAATTCATATATAATTTGATTTAATTTATATGTTAAAAATGAGAATTGAAGGTTCATATTTTAGTATTGACCTGAAGTAAGTGTGCATTTTTTAAAAAGCCTTTTCAGTTTCTGCTAAATTTGAAAGTATACCAATTTCAGTTTTGAAGTTATTTATCCTCTCTCTTGATTAATTAACTACTGCAATATGTTTTAAATGTGAAGTTAGGCCTACACTGTCTTTGATCACTTTATTATGTTCCCCAAACGAAGTTGGGGAACATATTGTTTTTACTCTGTTTCTTATTATTATTATTATTATTATTATTCCTGGGAAAATTTTGTCCTTGAGTGATCTTGTAAACTACACATCCGACTAAGGTAAAATGTTTTTAGGGTCAATAGACATGTTATGTAGATTTGCCGAACAAAGGTCATTTTGCGCGCACGTGCTTGCAAGAGCGCGCACGTGCAACATGTAAAATGACCGATTTAATTGATATAGGCGTAACTTTTTAAATTTTTGATGAAATGCTTTGAAACTCATAATGTAAGGATATATTAGTAATATAGACAATATGACATGGTCAAAATAGCAAAATCTCACGCGCATGCACGTGCGCTTTGCTCTGATTGGCTGAAACTAAAGTCTCAATATCTTTCTTGTTTTTTGAGGAGATCCTTTGAAATTTTGAACATAGCCATGCATTAGGATATCCTACAACATGATATATAGAAATTATCATGAAAACACGTGCATGCACGTGCGCTGCAATCTGATTGGCTGAAATTTTAAATAGCTATAACTCCCTTGATTTTCAACCAAACAGGATGGGATTTGGAACATAGATATATAAAATGGACTTTTAAAAAAAGGTATGGTCACCATGCACATGCATTCACGTTCGTGTACGTGAGCTGCAATCTGATTGGCTGAAACTTTAAAAAGCTATAACTCCCTTGGTTTTCAACCAACAGGATGGGATTTGGAACATAGATATATTAAATGGACTTCTACAATAAGGTATGGTCACCATGCACATGCATACACGTGCGTGTACGTGAGCTGCAATCTGATTGGCTGAAACTTTAAACAGTTATAACTTCCTTGGTTTTCAACCAAACAGGATGGGATTTGGAACATAGATATATAAAATGGACATCTACAAGAAGGTATGGTCTCCATGCACATGCATACATGTGCGTGTACGTAGGCTGCAATCTGATTGGCTTAAACTTTAAACAGTTTTAACTCCCTTGGTTTTCAACCAAACTGGATGGGATTTAGAACATAGATAGATTTAATGAACTTCTACAAAAAGGTATGGTCACCATGCTCATGTATGCACGTGCGTGCACGTGAAATGGGTAAAATCAAAAATACACTTGAATGAGCGAATTTTTTAATACTTTTGGATTAAATACTTTAATATTTAGTATATTAAAATATATAGATTGTGTAGACAAGATGATATGGTCATTACGTATATGCCTTCACATGCGCACACATGCAATGCTAAAATTTGAATGAGCATGGTACATTTCTGGGTAAACATTGTTAAAATTTCAAATGCATGGAGTTTGTGTTAATAAATGAAGCTTACAGGGAATATGGCACCAAAAGGGAGTTGGGGAGCGTTTGGGGAACATCTGTAACGGTCCCCGTTACAATTAGCACTAGTTTTATCTAGAATGAAAGTTTTTTTTTTCCCCAAGATTCCTTGATATGTACATAAATATTGTTTCTCTTTTTCTTGGTTCAATCAGAGACATGTGTTTGGTTCAATTTGTTCCGGTTGGCCCTGATGACGATCTAGTTCTATCGGAAGCCATTTTAATTGAATTCAAACACTGACTGTCAAAACAACACCCAGTTAAGTGTTTACACCTGCACTGATAATTAATCCATCGGCATTGTTCACGTAGATCTAAGCTTGGGTTGTAACTGGAAGTTAAAAGTGCAACCTAATTTACGAACCAAATCCGGAAATCGGGAGATTTTCGGGTTGTTCAGCAAAAATCGGGTGATAAGCGTGACCCGCCGGGTCATAAAAAATAATCGGGTTACGGGTTGAAAATCGGGTGTGACCCGACGAAATCGGGTGAGTTGGCAACTATGCCATAAAATTCACAATTTTTGTTCCCCTTCACCCGTAGATGTTGTATACCAAATTTGGTTGAAATTAGTTCAGTGGTTTCAGAGAAGAAGCTGAAAATGTTCAAATGTTAACACACGAAGATGGACGAAAACGGATAGCAATAGGTCACCTGAGTTTCTCAGGTGACCTAAAAACCACCTATCTTTAATCACTGGGAATACAGAAAAGCTCTATTAAACAGGTCGAGGAAACTACCTTATATAGATATTGTTGCAATTGCACACAGAAGTGCTCACAGCAAACAGTGGTCCAATCCAGGGAATAAGCCGAAAAGCATGATGGTCTACTACATGTTTATTTTTACTACAAACACGTGGGTCAGGGAAAATTTACGGTGCGATTTCAAATTACTGCAGGAAAGTTAGCTAACAATTTTTTGAAATTTTTTGAAATGTGTTGATGAAAAATACAAAGATTAGGTACTAATTAAGATTCTCCATGCTCACATTAACAAACAAAGTCAATTTTCCATGTTAAATAGTATTTTGAAATACTGCTCACAAAGTCTTCACAAGTAAATAAGACTCAAGTTTTTTAACTCAATATTCATTAAGTTGCCATGTAACTGGTTAATAAATCAATTGTTGCTCAGTTATGTGTTACTAGAAATTAAAAGTTGCATTTTATAAACAAAAAAACTTAAGTTGCACTTTTCTTAAAATTACTGTATACAGGGTTATTTTCGCCCCGTGTTATTTTCGCCCTTTCACGCTTGCAAACTATTTAACCCCGTTTTAAATTCGCCCAGTCATAATTTTGTTTAAAAAATTATACTGATTTGTTTCAATTTGCCCCGTTTTAAATTCGCCCAAATCAGAGTAGGGCGAAAGGGGCGAAAATAAAACAGGGGCAAAAATTTCCTGTATACAGTACTTACCTGTTATATAAATCCTCATGCACATTGATGATAGTACGTGAGTAGCAATATATATTTCGAAGTTGTATACATTGTAAAAATTGACAATACGTGAGCACACCTCAGAGTTGATTGTTTTTTGGATCAAGGAATAGTCATGTGAAATTGATTTTCACTGACAGTACAGCACGGGGAAAGCTGTCAACAAACGGACTTGTACAATAGAGTAGAGAAAAACTTAATTTTTATCATTGTAAATCATTTGTATATAAATGTGAGCATGGAATAAGAAGATAATGATGTTCATATTGTATTAAGTGTGTAAAATGCTTGGAAAAATGCATCCAATTTTCTGAGACCGATTTAAAATATTGGCCTTTTAGAAACACACGTGTAGTATTTTTGTAGTAAACCATAATGCAACTCATTGAGCTAATTTGTCAATTTGTCAGTCACGTTGATTCCACACTTAACATGTAAATTTATTCCGATGTCAAAGAAAATAGTTTCCTCAACCTGTTACATGAGTTAAGAACTACGGGAAATCATACAAACATAACTATTTTTTTGTCATTCCTTCTAATGTGTACATTTGTATAGTTTTTTTTGATTTTTTAATGTTACTGATAAGTAGAGTCCATCTATCTACGTACATACCTTTCCTGCTGACATTTCTATGACTACACATCCCAGACTCCAAATATCAGCTGCTCTTCCATGACCTTGAGATGCATTTCTTGTGATCACTTCAGGTGCCATGTATGCTGTCAAAGATACAAACGAAGCCCATGGACCAGAATGCTCACCTGAATAAGCTTGGCATTGCTGTTCCAAACTATGACATAACCTAATCTTTTAAAAAGGTTAAAGCTAAACAAAACTCAAATTCACACAGTATGGGGATGTTGTGAAATCATCAAAATTAGTGGGGAGGGGGTGTTTATATGCTTGAATGGGTTACATCTAACAACAAATTTACATCCTCAAAAAACTGTAACATTGATAATGAATGGACTCTTTCAACCTCTTATATAATTATGAATTACCCTCAAAATTATATACATGTATTTTTCCAATAGTTTTTGTTGCCAACTAATGTAAATCCCATATAATTTATATGATTCCGAAATTATCAACTGTAAAAGTTTTAGTTTCTAACAGGTCGGAGAGAATACTCTAAATCGGGTATTATCCTTGAAATCGCATATAATACCTGATATTAGGGTATCGTTTGAATCCGCGAAATCGGGTGTAGGAGGTGTAATCACCTAATAAAACTTAAACAATGGGATGGCGCATGTTGCCGAGTTAACTTTCATCTAGATACACATGATTTCTAAAGGTATCACGAACCAAGTAAGAATTTGGACGTCAAGATTAATGCACTCAGGTCAACAAATACCCGTGGAGGTCAGTACATTTCATGATCTGCACACAAAAAGGCGTTCGATTTGCTGTATAGTTTTCATAATGTTGAAAGTATATGCATCTTCCTAATGTTCATTCCCAACACAACAGTACTGTAAAGTATCAGAATTCGGGAATTTATAATTATTCCAAATCAACACGACAAACATGAACAATTTGTAAATAAATCAAATTATACGGAAACACATTTCACACACAAGATTTGATGCCATGTATAAACAAGGGATTGTCTATCGTATCTAATTATGTGTCATTAGTTACTTTCACATTCATCTGAATGTGCATAAAATCAAATTTATTTATGAATGTATAAATAATGTAATGATAAAAATGTCTAAAATTTCGGCTAAAAAATCCCCTTTCTCTTCTTTAAAATTTTTTTTTTTTTTATCATTCATACATATTTGCTGAATATGTCTTCAACATTTTAGCAGAGACAGTGATAGTTTCAGGAATACAGCTTATGAGAGAACATAACTGTTGATCGTTTAATTTCGTAAGTCATCAATATTTTACCGTTTCTTGGCGACTTCAAGGGGGGGGGGGGGGGGGGGGGGCTAAAGGCTTCTTGACCACCTCTGAAAAAACAACCTCGACTGTGTTCTACATGTGTCCAAGAGACCTCTCTTTGAATGTCAAGGTCGATTAAACTCGGTTATATATTTTTAATTGTAGGGAAGATTTATTCATCAAATAAAAATCATATAGGTAAACAAAATGCAACCTGTTATTTTCTAACACAATATGAGACTACAAGTAACTAGAATTCATGTTTATTTTTTAACACATTTTTCTATTATAGATGAGTATTAGGAAAAGTTATTGCCATGAGTAACAAGTATCATAGATAAAATAACTAAAAGAAAACTGTGACATATTGTCTAGAACCAATCAGATAGTGCATTGTATGGCATATTATATCAGAGGTATAATATAGCGATATTAAAAGAATATAGAAAGTAAAGAGGTAAAATTTACCCTTTCTATCAAAAAGTATAATAAAGAAAGGGAATGGCTACAATTTTTATGAAATTTTAATGTCCGATGAGGAATTATATTCCCAAAAAGTAAGACAAGAGTTTCCAAGGCAATTGAACACTCCATTATTTCAGTTTGTTCATTAACATGTTCATCATGAACGTAAAAACTATAAGAAATGTGAAAACTTGACTATGTAATTCATATTTCAATATGACTGTACCTCGATCTATATTGAGAAATTCAATGTATTATAAGCTCATGAAAAGATGTACACATTTGACTTTTCTTTATATCCCCCCACCAAAAAAAACAAAAACAAAAACAAAACAAGAAAATCCTGTTCATATGACTTCTCGCTCTCAATTTTTACACAAATGCATATAATAAAGGTAAAATAGCATATCTTGTATCGATTAAAACGCAACCAAAAAATTTACGGTGTCTTTGAATAAAAATTTCCATGTTAAATCGACATAAAAAAGATACTCACCTTCAGTTTGCTATTTTCAACCTGTTTTCCCGTAGGTATTTATTTGATCTTATTTTATTTTCTTCTTAATAATGACATTGGTATTCTATTGTGGCAGAGATATACAATTATGACTCGCTTATACTGTACTCTCTAACTGTTAGGAATAATTTATATTTTACGTGAAAGGGACGCCATACATTTTTCAGTAAAAATACATAACACGGCGTTAGTCGTTTAATTTCTTTAAAGTTTCACATTTTGTGAATAGTGCACAAATTAGAAAATTAAGTATATGGAATACTTAAATGGGAAATAAAGACAAACGAAGTGTAGTTATTTGTTTTTTTAGAAATTATATTGAAAAATAATAACGCCATTGTGTCCTCTTTAATTGTTACCCCAGCAGTGTTCATCGTGTGATTTTAAACTTATTTGACAACCGTATGAATTAGGTTTAATAAAAATAAACACACAAGATACTGATGTACAAGTAACAGTAACTGGCATAATGCGCCGTTGCTTTATTCTTTTGTTTTTATAGAAAGTTGCACAGAATACCCGATTTCACAGATTCAACGATACCCTAATATCGGGTATTATACGCGATTTCACGGATAATACCCGATTTCAAGTATTCTCTCCGACCTGTCTAATGTTACTCAATCTAACCCTTGAGGACCAGAATTTGACCAGACTTGTATCCTCACTACCTCCAAAATGTTTGTATTAATTGTAATTGCTCATTATATTTTTTTATAAATGAAATGAAGGCGCAGCCTAATAAAAAGAATAGACTAAATATACGGACCAGACACGAATTATGAACTTTTTCTGTCAGTGAACTTGAACTTGCATAAATGACCTTAGTTCAAAGTCATGACACAACCTAAGTTCATAAACGCTGTTTGTGTGAAGTAGTAGATTCAAGTTTTTCCATAATAAAGAAAGATATGGACAGGACACAAATTATAAAATTTTTCTTCCAGTGACCTTGAACTTCCCCAAATGACCTTGACCCAAGGTCATGACATATCCTTAGGTCATGAGCAATCTTTGTGTGAAATGAGAACTTACCAAGTTTATCCATAAGAAAGATATGGACCAGACACGAATCATGACATTTTTCTTCCAGCGACCTTGAACTTCCCCAAATGACCTTGGATCAAGGTCATGACACATCCTTAGGTACGGAGGAATCTATGTGTGAAATGAGAACCTACCAAGTTTATCCATAAGAAAGATATGGACCAGACACGAATTATGACATTTTTCTTCCAGCGACCTTGAACTTCCCCAAATTACCTTGGGTCAAGGTCATGACAAACCCTTAGGTCAGGAGGAATCTTTGTGTGAAATTAGAACGTACCAAGTTTATCCATAAGAAAGATATGGCCTGGACACAAATAATGAAATTTTTCTTCCAGTGACCTTGAACTTCCCAAAATGACCTTGGGTCAAGGTCATGACACACCCTTAGGATATAAGCAATCTTTGTGTGAACTTAGAACGTACCAAGTTTATCCATAAGAAAGATATGGACTGGACACGAATTATAAAATTTTTCTTCCAGTGACCTTGAACTTCCTAAAATGACCTTGGGTTAAGGTCATGACACACCCTTAGGTCATGTGCAATCTTTGTGTGAAATTAGAACCTACCAAGTTTATCCATAAGAAAGATATGGACGGGACACAAATTATGAATGTTTTCTTCCAGTGACCTTGAACTTCCTCAAATGACCTTCAAGGTCATGGGCAATCTTTGAATGGAGTAGTAGATTCTAATGTTCCTCCGTAAGAAAGATATGGACCGCACACATTTTGCACAGACAGATGGACAGCTAGACAGACGGACAGCTAGACAGACGGATGGACAGACAGACGGACAAGGTGATTCCTCCATACCCCCCAAACTTAATATATAATAATCATGGCTTTTCTGTTTTTGAGAAAAAAGATAAAACATGGATCCACCATTGTAGCCCACCCTACACCCTGGAGTCATAAATTGAAAGAACCTGAATCAACATTATTACCTAACCTACTATATAAACTGTAATTAGGCATTTTGAACTTTTTCACGGTTTATTTTATGTTTTTGCGTGATCATGAAACAGTTGAACTGTTGACGGAGTCACAGAATGAACTGTTGCCTGTTTAAAGCGTTTTGATGATCACGACATCACTATTTACCTGCTCTATAATTAATTAAATTGAAATAAAACACACAAACAATCAATCAATCAATTTCTTAAATATTACTTTAAATTATTAAATATTGATTTAATATTTATTACTTTATATTATGTGTTCAGCTAATTAATAGAAAAGAATGTGAATAAACAGTTGTTAAAACTGTTTATTGATTGTGTGTTTTTATTCCAATTCTGCCTAGAGCAACAGTTTCCCAGGTCTTCCCCACTACCTCGGGACAACAGTTTGACTGTTTACCGCGTAGTCATTAAATAAGTGTATACTATCTAATGATGCTTCCATCAAGATATGACAAACCATAGCTTTGCAGTTCTTAGAAAGGAAGACTTTTAAAGAATTTTCCTATGTATTCCAATGATAAACTTTGATCACCCATTGTGGCCCAACCCTACCAGGGGTCATAATCAAACAAATTTGAATCTACACAAACTGAGGATGCCTCCGTATAAATATGAACAATCATGGCTTTGTTGTTTTTGAGAAGATTTTAACATTATTTTCCTATATAATTATGTCTATGTAAAACTTTGTCCCACCCTACCTCCCAGGGTTATGATTTAAACAAACTTGAATCTACACCACCTACACATGAGTTTCATCTTTCCTGGCCTAGCTAGTGAGAAGAAGAATTTTAAAAGATGCCATTATTTTTTCACTAACTCCCAATTATCTCCTCTTGAAAGAGGGCATGGCCCTTCATTTGAACAAACTTGAATCTCCTTCACTCAAGGATGCTTTGTGGCAAGTTTGATTGAAATTGGCGCAGCTGTTCTTGAGAAGAAGTCGAAAATGTGAAAAGTTTACCAACAGACGGATAGACAGACACCAGACAAAATGTGATCAGAAAAACTCACATGAGCCTAATCACACATTTTCATTCTTTTCCATAATAAACAATAAACTGCTATTAGGCCAAAATTTTTTTTCTCCTGGTTTACGATTCCGCCGACCCTATTTTTCCCTATTTACAAAAATAAAAATAATGCGTCTGACTCTCGAAACTGGACTCTTAATCCGAAATTTTTTCGACCAAATGACTGTTTTTATAATTTACATCTTAAACAACAGTGATTTCTGCTCACAAATAGCACATTGTCTTTGAACATTTTTCCTGCGCAAATAAGGCACGTATCCATGTTCTAAATGAATGAAAAAGTCTCAATATGCATATCTTTATTTGATATATTTTTCTCTGAGTCCTAAACTGTGTGTTTAGAGCTTCCTTAACAACTTAAGTTCATTGATTCTGTAAAAAAGAACTTTGTATTTGGTTTGGGTTGCTAGATGTTTTTGATCTGAATCAGAATTATTGACCTGCATTAAAATTTAAACAAAATACAATTTCAATACAGTATAATTTTGAACTTTGGTTTTATTGAATATGTACTGGTCCCTTGAATTTAAAAAAAAAAAAAAAAAAATATATATATATATATATATATATATATATATATATATATATATATATATATATATATATATATATATAGTGAACAGTAAAAAATATATATATATATATATATATATATATATATATATATATATATATATATATATATATATATATATATATATATATATATCCAGTGAACAGTGCACTTATCGACACTTATGACTTCTCTAAAATATCCAGTGTACACTGTACTCATCAATACTGTTGACTTCTCTAGTGAAATCAAGTGTACACCGTACTCATCAATACTTGTGACTTCTCTAATGAGATACAGTGTATAATGTACTCATCAATACTGGTGACTTCCCTAATGAAATCAAGTGTACAATATACTCATCAATACTTGTGATTTCTCTAATGAAATATATTGCACATTGTACTCATAAAAACTCATGACTTCCCTAGTGAGATACATTGCACACTGTACTCATCAATACTCATGACTTCTCTAATGAGATACATTGCACATTGTACTCATAAAAACTCATGACTTCCCTAGTGAGATACATTGCACACTGTACTCATCAATACTCATGATTTCTCTAATGAGATACATTGCACATTGAACTCATAAAAACTCATGACTTCCCTAGTGAGATACATTGCACATTGTACTCATAAAAACTCATGACTTCCCTAGTGAGATACATTGCACATTGTACTCATAAAAACTCATGACTTCCCTAGTGAGATACATTGTACATTGTACTTCTAAAAACTCATGACTTCCCTAGTGAGATACATTGTACAGTGTACTTATAAAAACTCATGACTTCCCTAGTGAGATACATTGTACACTGTACTCATCTGTGAGTGGTGACTTCTCTCATCATTAAATTACCCATAGTTCCTACAAGGCTGTTGAACTCGCCTGGCAGAGTTGCATGGCTTTTAAGTTTTTCTGAGCATCCAAAATCTCCAAGTTTTAAACACCCACTGGAAGTCAAAAATATGTTGGCACCTAAAATGTACACAAATGTTTTGGTCATTAATATTCAATAAGCAGTTAAGGATACGAGTTTAAGATAATTCAGTTTCTTTTGAGAGAGGAAAAGTTCTTAAATATATATAATGTGGAAGGCTTTAAAGTATTTTTGGGAGACTTCGAATTCTTTACAATTCTCTGTTGAAAAACAGTCCCATATGCAACAATGCTCACCTATGTTACACTACTTTCTTTATATCTGGGTTTTCAGTACAAATATGGGGAGTCAGTGAGAAAAAGAATTAAGAGCATCAGAGAGAGATATTGAATCCCTGACAAAAATTTACTATTAGAATTTTAAAAATACTTTGTTACTCTGAATAAAATTCATTTAATTCAGACTTAGAAATTAGGAGCTAGCCAATTAAGGAATGTTTTTGAATTTTGTGTGATTTATTGGTGTGTGAATCAAACAGACCTGTCACGTATATATGCCTACATACAAGTCTGTGTGATTCACATGCCAATACCGTATAATCCCTATTAACTGCTCTGGGCACTTAGAAAATTGCAAACAAGAGGCCCATGGGCCACATCGCTCACCTGAGCATTAAGGGTAGGAAAAAGTAGAAAATGGATTTTTATTGTAAAGTTTAAATCCAAAAGTAGTCCCATGACCAATCATGGATTTGCTATTTTTTAGAAAATGATTTTTAAAGAATTTTCCTATATATATCTTTAAAAACTTTGGTCGGCCATTTTGGCCCCGCCCTACCCCGGGGGGTCATGATTTGAACAAATTTGAATCTACACTACTTGAGCATGCTTCCATATACATGTAAATATGATAAATTATGGCTTTGTCATTCTTGAGAAGAAGATGTTTAAAGAATTTTCCTATATATTTCTATGTAAAACTTTGGTCGGCCATTTTGGCCCGGCCCTACCCTCGGGGTCATGATTTGAACAAACTTGAATCTACACTACCTGAGCATGTTTCCATATAAATATGATGAATTATGGCTTTGTCATTCTTGAGAAGAAGATTTTTAAAGAATTTTCCTATAAATTTCCATGTAAAACGTCGGCCATTTTGGCCCCGCCCTACCCCGGGGGGTCATGATTTGAACAAATTTGAATCTACACTACTTGAGCATGCTTCCATATACATGTAAATATGATGAATTATGGCTTTGTCATTCTTGAGAAGAAGATGTTTAAAGAATTTTCCTATATATTTCTATGTAAAACTTTGGTCGGCCATTTTGGCCGGCCCTACCCTCGGGGTCATGATTTGAACAAACTTGAATCTACACTACCTGAGCATGTTTCCATATAAATATGATGAATTATGGCTTTGTCATTCTTGAGAAGAAGATTTTTAAAGAATTTTCCTATAAATTTCCATGTAAAACGTCGGCCATTTTGGCCCCGCCCTACCCCGGGGGGTCATGATTTGAACAAACTTGAATCTACACTATCTGAGCATGCTTCCATATAAATATGATGAATTATGGCTTTGTCATTCTTGAGAAGAAGATTTTTAAAGAATTTTCCTATATATTTCTATGTAAAACTTTGGTCAGCCATTTTGGCCCCGCCCTACCCCCGGGGGTCATGATTTGAACAAACTTGAATCTACACTACCTGAGCATGCTTCCATATAAATATGATGAATTATGGCTTTGTCATTCTTGAGAAGAAGATTTTTAAAGAATTTTCCTATATATTTCTATGTAAAACTTTGGTCAGCCATCGTGGCCCCGCCCTACCCCCGGGGGTCATGATTTGAACAAACTTGAATCTACACTACCTGAGCATGCTTCTATATAAATTTGATGAATCATGGCTTTGTCATTCTTGAGAAGAAGATTTTTAAAGAATTTTCCTATATATTTCTATGTAAAACTTTGGTCGGCCATTGTGGCCCCGCCCTACCCCCGGGGGACATGATTTGAACAAACCTGAATCTACACTACCTGAGGATGTTTCCCCATAAGTTTCATCTTTCCTGGCACAGTCGTTCTTGAGAAGATTTTTAAAACATACCACCAAATTTTCACTAATTCTCAATTATCTCCCCTTGAATGAGGGCGTGGCCCTTCATTTGAACAAACTTGAATCCCCTTCACCTAAGGATGCTTTGTGGCAAGTTTGGTTGAAATTGGCCCAGCGGTTCTTGAGAAGAAGTCGAAAATGTGAAAAGTTTACGGACAGACAGACAGACAGCTAGACGGACAGACGGACGCCGGACAAAATGTGATCAGAAAAGCTCACTTGAGCCTTCGGCTCAGGTGAGCTAAAAAGGGCTATTATTTTGGTTTTCTCTCAGTCTATAATATTTAATATCGTATCTTAAATTCAAAAAATCTTTTGAAAAAAAAAATTCAAAGAATCACTAAAAAATGACTAACTTTACTTTAAGTGAATTCAGATAATCCACCCAAATTATGCTATGCAGCACTGTTAAGGCCTACTATGAGAAATCAACGGAAAATAGAAGTGCAAAAACGGTTATTGTTTTTAAAACTGAATTTATTATTATTCGGCTGTTTTATTATCACAGAACTTAAATACTTATTGAAATAGCATAGTTTAAGCTACTCTGTACTGTTTGAAGTTTGGTCCTATCGATGGACAGTCACATGATGAATGCATTAGTAAGTGTACTGAATGTAGGTCATTCACACATTTCAATATCACAAGGGCAAACCCTATTTGAAATTAAGAATTCAAGCTATTAATTGTAATTGGAAAGTGCTGCTGCTTCGAATAGAATTTGTGTTTTGATAGTCAAAAGTTCAAGTAAATGGGCCCATTTCGAAATATGTTTGACTTTTACCAAATATTTTGTGTATTTATAAAGTCACGCTCTCGATTTAAAGAAAGCAGCAGCACTTTTGAAGTTAAGGAACATATCCTTTATCTATATTCAAAAAATGGTTAAAATTTATTTAGTGTATGCCCTTGCGAAAGAAAGATTTTATGAGGCACCTCGATGTAAAATATATCTATAACCTGAACATAAAAACATGACAAAATTATTTGAATACATTCTCTCGATAGTAAATGAATAATTGCAGTAAACAAAGGATATCAGGGACGTAGCAACAGGGGGGGCCAGGCCCCCCCACTCTTTTTGCCAACAATACTTTTACTATTGAAAATGTTCATTGAAAGGCTGGTTCCCCCCCCCCCCCACTTTATACTAAAGTAAAGTAATACATGTATGAAGGAAATATAGCATTGTAAGCTTAAAAAATGGATATTGAAAGGAATCGGTAGTGAGAAAAGTTTGCATCTACCCCCCCCCCCCCCCCCCCCCCCCCTTTTTGACGTTGGGCAATTTTCCTTTTCTTTTTTTTTGTTTGCTTGTCAACTTTTTCAGGTAAGTAAAAAAATAATTCTGTGGCTGGCCCCCCCCCCCCACTTTCAAAATCGATGCTACGTGCCTGGATATACATTGGTATTAATAGCCTATTTAAAACCTGTGAATAATATTCTGTTTTATAATAAAACACATTTTTCATTGCTAAAAAATTCCTCAATCTGCCTCTCACAGCACATGAAATACATCTTTTTTACCAAAATGACATCATGATTGACAAGGTCAACGTGATCAGTGATTTGTTTATAACCAGCTGTATGGGATTTGATTAGCCACTTTTTTTTTATGCATTGATAGTTTTATCGTTGTTTATTATGCTAATACAGTTTAAAATTGCAAATTATTTCATTTTCTGCTATTATGAGGAATAAATAAAAGTCATATTTTTGTGTGACATCACAGTAAACTTTTCCCATATAAATTAGGCCCCGCCTCCTTTTTTCAGCCTTAACAATGCTGCATAAATAAATGATTCATTTCAGTCAAGAAATTGGATAAAAGACAAGTTTCATTTTTACTTTCTTCAAATTTTGGCAGACTTTTGATACAATTCTAGATGATTTTAATCACTGTACAGGGGGCCCTTATTTCCTGACAATTGAAAAAGACCTAGGGGGCACTTATAGGGGCAGAGGCGGTTAATAGGTATTATTATGGTAATTTACACTAAACTTATTAACATTCCTTATATTTACACTTTACATGTTTGGAAGCAACTAAAATATACTAATATTTGAATTTCTCACTGCCCTATATCATTGCATTTTTACTAATATAGTCACTGCAGCCTCATTGTGACATTACGTTAACACGTTTTTCCGTGCATATTTCTACGTATGAGTATATATGAAAATGGTTTTCAAATCAATTTTACAGTTGGCTTACTAGAAAAACACAGCAAATGAAGTATATAGTTGACAATGGCTTGTAAAACCTGGACTGGCTACCAAAAATTATTTCTGTGCATGCATGATGGGCTAAAGAGCTCCAGATAAGGTGGGTATAATACTATAATATATTTGCAGAAATATGCATTGATATTTACAAAATACACATTAAAAATTAAAACTGGGCATAAAGTTATGCATTAGCAATCATAGATAAGCATTTCACCATAAAAGTACTGTGTACGGTGGGTTGAATAATACAAGTACAACTTAGCTAATGGGATGAATTGAGGTTAACCCAGTGTTGATTTTTCACAAAACCAAATATCAATTTTAAAGCGTTTAATGACCAGGAATATTCTGACTAGTAATGATGACAATAATTTCCATTTCAGGAGAAAAGAATCAAAGATTTAGATTAAAATGGATTCCACATAATTTGTATTAAAATTTTAACTTACCAATCAAAAGTTCTCTTAAATTCTCCAGAGCTCTCTGTTTAGTAAGATGCTTACACACGGTTTGTACATAACATTTTTTCAGTATGAGCTACTTCATTGTGAATTTCTCATCTTTATTAACTTGCCATATTAATGAGGATTTTTTCTCTCAGTTATTCTTGTTTTGATATCATCTTAAATGGAGGAAAAGATTTACTTGCCTGTAGTAACTTAATTTACCTACAGTAGGATCTTCCTTGTCAAAAATGAATGTTTCTCAGTTTTAGCCAAAAGTCTTGTTGGTATTTTCAAAATTTATTTAAAATGCAGAAACTCCTCTTCTAAAACACTTACATATTAACAAAATACTCCGAAATCATGATACTGAATCAAAATTGGCATTGATTTGAAATTCAGGGTGTACATACACTTTGGGGCAAAATATTATCTGGAGCTCAGGGCTAGTAAGTACAGACCCTAAACCGTGCTACTACACCACTTGAACGGTACGGTTTGGCATGCTTTGTGAACGGGTACGGTACACTTTGTGAACGTGACGGTTCGTTTTGTGAATGGTATGGTATGCTTTTTGCAGAGAACAGTTCGCTTTGTGAACGGAACGATATGCTTTGTGCACGGAACGGTTCGCTTTGTGAACGGAACGGTACGCTTTGTGCACGGAATGGTTCGCTTTGTGAATGGTACGGTATTCTTTATGGACGGAATGTTTCGTTTCTTGCACGGTACGGTTTGTTTTGTGAACGGTATGCTTTTGGAAACGGTATGCAAATGAAGTGGGTGGAGTTTGTTAGCTTTAGTCCTTGATTGGCTGCTAAAAATTTGTCCATTGTTAACGAGTTTTGAAGTATTTTATGCACGCCAGGGATTTTCCATCCCATTTTGGGAATGGGGCCCAGGCCCTTCCCATTGGGAATTTTACGACATTTTACAACTTTTTGGGGAATTTTATAGCAAGATGTATTTCAATAAATAAACACTCATGATAGTTAAAATTGACTTTTTACTTCATATTTTCAGAACTTTACTTCAGAAAACAGATCTATTATTCTAAAGTTTTAGCCAAGTCTCCAAAAATTATGTTCATTTCATTAAGAGTTCAAACCTGACCATGTTTGTTTTACATGAATTTTTCAAAAATTAAACAGGCTGTTCATTTTTGGGAAAAATTGAGTGATTTTGCAATTGGGAATGGGGCCCATATTCGGCCCTACATGGGGCAGTGGAAAATCCCTGCACACGTACATAATTATATTACCGTTATTAACAAATGTAATTATTTATATACTGTAAATATATATTTAAGTATCAATGAGTTTCATTTATCAAGGGAATTTTTTTTTCATTATGTAATTGCGTTTATCAGTAGTCTTGTAATGTAATATGCTAGAGGATACATGTATGTCTCGGTTTCAATCAAAAAATACAGTAACTTCCGAGCGTATTATCGTAACAGAAAACATTCTTTGCATAAACTAGTATTTATGTTTTCAATAATTCTTTCAGTGTAAAATAATTTTAATAAGTTCTTCTTTATTTTTATAGGTTATACTTATCTTGTAAAGTGTGTAAAAACAATGTCGTGAACAAAAGAGAGAGAGAGAGAGAGAGATACAACCCCTTGTTACATAATCTATTAAAAAATCTCCTTAGGCTATTTGTTTTAATTCTTTGATTTATTAATATTTACACTGCCAAAGTCACAATTAATTAGTCTATGATGCTTTTTAGTAATTTCCACAACTTTGGTTCATACTCAACCCATTTACAACTATTGAGCAATCAATTTGAATGTTCTCTGTACATGTAAAAATCTTCATGTTTACCCCATGTAATATTTTTCTCCTTATTTTACATTATTACAGATTTTTAGTGTAAGTCTAACTGCACCAATGATTCGCCGAGTAATTATCAGTCTGAGAGCAGAATTAAAGTGTGAGTTTAATACGTTTGTTTTACTCTAGACAGTTCATATTATGTTTTAAATTTCTTACAAAATAATTCATTAGTAAAATCAAGCATCTGATTTGTACTACATAGGCATAGGCGTCAGAAGCAAATTGAATGTGGAAGGGGGGGCTAAATCAACAAAAAAAGGTAAACTCCAATTTCCAATGCCTATAATATACATATTTTTGCAAAAAAGTGGCTTAAAAGTTTGCTTAAATAAAGAAAATGAAAATGTTTATTATCAGATCTGTAATGGGGAACCGTGATACACCGTGTTACACGGTGCACAGAATCACTGACTTCAAAGACGCCAACATGGTCGGAGGTCCACGGTACCCCATGTTTTGCGGGAAAACTTGTGGCCTGTAATGTACCTTTGATCACAAACACAACAGGTTGATTTATAGCAAATAAGACACTCTGTCTAGTTGTTGAAGTTGTTTGTTTCGGGTAGTTTCATTATTTTTACAGTTGAAAGCCCGGATGCATGATATTTGATAAAGGTGTTTCGAACAGCTAGGGACTACCTCCATCTTCCTTTCTCTGGCGCTATTGCGAGAAATAAACCAAAATGATTTATTTGGTCATTGCTTGGTTAAAAAATCATTGGGGGCATGGTTTGCATAATTAACCAAAGAACGGTACAGTTCGTTTCTCGCACGGAATGGGACATTTTTTTAACATTAGGGTACGCTTTTTGAACGGTACAGTACGCTTTGTGCACGGAGCGGTTCGGTTCGTTTCTGAGGTGTAGTAGCATGGTTTAGGGTCTGTAAATTTATGGTGGAGAATTTTAAAGCATGGTTCCCTTTCTAAAATATAAAAAAGGTGCTATCCCAAGTCAGAAATCCACAAAAAGGACGGCTCTAACAGAATAAGACATTTTTGGTGCAAAAAAGTAGCATGAAGAATCAAAGCATCTGACTCAGCAAAAACTCCAACAAGATTGGCTGATTATTTTAGAATTGACTCAGTGAGGAAAAGAAATGAAAATAGTAAATGGCAATTTTTTTTTTTTGAAATACAAACCTTTTTTTATAGAAAAAAAGTAGATTATTTCTTGTACTTTTAATCTACATAAGTACAGGGATGCCAAATAAATACATTTAATTTTACAAATTTACAAAAGTAATTTACATAATTGTAATTACCCTTTATATCTCTGTGTAATATGTTATTTTCATGTAAATGGTTGATAGCTAGCAGAATTTCTCTGGTGTATACTCTAATGTTGTGTTCAGGAAGTCCCATTTTGGCTGCCTCTTCCAGTGTCCCACGATCACAGTATTCCATGAACACCAACATTTCATCCTAATATTCCAAATAATAGGAATATATAAATATATATTAATAAGATACAAGATCAATGCATGAACATATCAATATGTTCAGCATGTGAAATGAAAAAGTTATGAGGTCTGGCTTGTACATTCTCACAAAATCATCATTACAGTGTGATAAATATTCCATATAAAAAGAATCTTCTATACACATAATAAAGAATAAGCAATCAAATCTTTATATCATTTGATAATTCTACAAATTCAGTCAGGGGGATCCTACTCCCCCCCCCCTCCCCCGAACTGGGCATGGTTTACTTTTTCTCTAAGTGGGGGACACAATTTCTCTGAATTAGCTTGTTTTTTTTAAAGTATAATTTTCGGCTATGACTTAGCATTCACTCACAAACTTACACGCGTGTAACTTTATTCCTTATAACTGTAACAATAGGATAGAAACACAATGCATTTTCTGCATCACCAAAAAATTCAAATAAGAAATAAATTCAGATATGCCAAGATATGTATTAAACTTGTTTTTAAAAACGTTTATTCCTTTTATAAACATAGGTAATCAGAGGTTACAGAGCTCACCTCAACGAATGTTGTCTTTAAGTAAGGCAAAGTCAAACAATTAACCAACAAAATGTGTACATCCAAAAATGAAAAAATTATGCAATTTTGATTTGATACTTTGGAATAGACCTATATAAAAACTTCAAACTAGTACTTCATCATGAAAACGTAATTAAAATCCAGCATCTGAAGCAAGTTTAAGAGTTTTCATCCCTTGATGCATCATTTGAGCAAGTTTGGTTTATATAAGCCTTATAGTTTCTAGGTAAAAGACATGCACCCATAACTTTTACGAGGTCCATTGTCTGGAAAATGGGCCCCTCATCCAAGCATACCCTGGATGTGATGGATGAGGGACATTCTTGGAGTACAGCCTGAGGCTGAAGAGTATCAATAGCATATTTCTTGACTAATACCATGCGGGCTCGCTATTCAAAGAAATTAAAACCCATGTGACATCACCAGTATAAATACCAACCGCCATGCTTGAATCACTCATAATTTAAAGCAAATTTATTGTCAATGTATGCAATAATAAAGAGGCGTAAATAAATAAGTGATGTATTATTCCATGTATTCTCACATGGGTGGGAAAGTTGATACTCTTCAGCCTCAGGCTGTACTCCAAGAATGTCCCTCATCCATCACATCCAGGGTATGCTTGGATGAGGGGCCCATTCTTTTCATACAGCCTTCGGCTTTCAGAGTATCAATAGCATGTTTAAAGAATTGACAATAAATTAAATCAAAACATTTATTTGGAAAAAACATCAATCACAGTTTAACACACCATCCATATAAGAATTGGAATCATTATTCTAAATGTCTCTAAAATAAAATTTTTTGAAGTTCTTCGATGAGGACCAATCTCCAGTCTTCAGAATATTTGCTAAGGAAACACCACTTTTCAGAGCTGCAGAAGATGCTGAACGAATTGAATGCGCCTTGAAAGTCTTAATGTCTATTCCAGCACTTTCCATTACGCACTTAATCCATCTAGCTATAGTGCTTGTGGAAACTTGATCGAATGTCTTAAATGATATAAGAAGCTGATCACACTTGCGAAAGTCACTTGTTCTTTTAATATATTCCTGTAGCGTACACACAACAGAAAGTTTTTCATCCTTGTATCTATCAAGGGTGATAGAAAATGACCTTCCTGGTCTAGAAGTCTTAAGTAATGACGTAAAATAAAAAATAACTCTCTCTGTACTTAACTTCATATTCTTAATACTCAAATTAACAAGAGTTTGTGCCCTAGCTGCTGTTGTTAAAGCTAAAAGTGTACATATCTTCCAAGTAAGATGTTTCATATCTAATGAATCCAAAGGAAAAAGAGACTTTAAACATGTAAGAACTTTAGTCACATCCCATGTAAATTCATATCTTGGCAAATTTGGTCTTGAATTAAACAACCCTTTCATAAATTTTGATAGTAATGCTGAATTTTTATTCCATTTTTGATCTAATAAAGATAAAGTCTGAGTTACAGCTTCTTTATGAGTATTGACACAAGAGTAAGATTTCCCTTCTTTAAATAATGAAAACAAATAAGACATCAGATCCTTGTCAGAAATTTCATATACATTTTTGTTTCGTTTATTACACTAAAAAATGAATTTTCACCATGCAAGGTAGTATTGTTTTTGGGTCGATCCTCTCCATGAGGACAAGATGATGAGTCTAATGTCCTTTGGAAATTCTTTATCCTCCAAGGCTTTCCAGAGAAAACTGCGGTGGCTAAGATGATTTTCTTGTTCATGGGGTGGTTTCTGTTTCCATCGGTCAGAAGATCTGCATGTCTTGGCAGTCTAACTGGAATTGAAACAATCATTGATAGTAAAAGGGGAAACCAAGTTTGAGATCGCCATACAGGAAAAACCACAATAGCTCTATCTACCCTATCTTCCTTGATCTTATTGAAAACTCTTCCTAACAGATGGAAAGGTGGAAATATATAAGGTATTAATTCTGTCCACAGAAAAGAAAAGGCATCAACTTTCCATGCATTTGGACTAAAAGACCAAGAAACACCCATACGAAAATGTGTAGTTGACCGTCAACTAGCCGTCAACTAACCGTCAACTAGTCGTCAACTGTTAATGCGAAAACAGTTGACCACTCGGAGTTGAATGCTTTTCTGAAAAGCGATCAACTGATTTGCATAAAACGGCCAGTTGACCATTAGTTGAATGCTCATACTTTGAAATTTCATGCAGAACAAGAGTTGACCACTAGTTGAACACTCCGACTTGTTAGAAAATTTCTCCCACGCTAAATTTATGTTGGGTTCAAAATTACATTATCATAGATCGGGTTTGTTATACCATAATTACAACAACCAAGATTTGAATCAGTACATGTGTGTTTTCTGTAGAAGATGGGAATTTTGATTTGAAACATTATTATTGTCTTCGTGATGATTCAGCGTGTGAAATATCTCATGTACTATTGTAAGTATATAAAATTTAAAGATTTGTTTTTACTAAACTTGTTATTTTTAAACAGATATAATAGGAATGCAAAACAATGTAGCCAGTATAGGTCCCTTTTTGTGTACTTTTTTTAAATATGGAAAGAATTCTGAAAACCTGTTATGCATCAAGTGTCTTGTTGTGTTGTAAAAATATACAATTGCTTTAGACTAATTCTATATATAACCTTTTCTGCCAAGAAAATGAAAAAAGTACGTAAGGGTTGCCCGCAACCCTGTGTCTCGCCTGCTGTCGCTGTGGTTAGTAAGAAATGATTGTCTGATAAACTGAAGCATTTATTGACATTTCAGAAGGAATAACTCAAAAATACAATAATAAAGAAATGGAACAGCTGACTTAATATCTAATCCCTTGGCGATTATATTGGCATTTATATATATATACATATACCCTGTAAATTCACAAATTATTGTGATGTTTTTATTATTGCGAATATTGCAACGTGTTATGAGTCGCAATAATTTGAACTTGCATTTTGAAATCAAATCCACTGTATATGTATCAAGTCATTCATGCAGAAAATGTAGGTGAAGATTACCTAATTATGGTACTGATATTGTTGGTTACCCATGATGTGTAGACTGACAAATTATCATGCCACTATAAGTTATAGTTGCTGAGATATGGACCTCCACCATAAATTTATGCAAAGTCACTCATGCGGAAAAATGTAGGTCAAGATGACCTAATTCTGGTACAGGCGTTTGTGGTTACCCATGATGTATCCACTGACAAATTATCATGCCACTATAAGTTATAGTTGCTGAGATATGGACCTCCACCATAAATTTATGCAAAGTCACTCATGCGGAAAAATGTAGGTCAAGATGACCTAATTCTGGTACAGGCGTTTGTGGTTACCCATGATGTATCCACTGACTAACTATCATGCCACTATAAGTTATAGTTGCTGAAATATGAACCTCCATTATCAATTTAACCAAAGTCATTCATGCAGAAAAATGTAGGTCAAAATGACCTAATTCTGGTACTGATGTTGTTGGTTACTTATAACCTGTACAATGACAAATCATCATGCCATTATAAGTTATAGATGCTGAGATATGGACCTCCACCAAAAATTTAACCAAAGTCACTCATGCAGAAAAATGTAGGTCAAGATGACCTAATTCTGGTACTGACGTTTGTGGTTACCCATGATGTATCCACTGACTAATTATCATATCCCTATAACTTATAGTTGCTGGAATATAGGTCTTCACCATAAATTATCATGAAAAAACTAAGTCCAACTTAAGGAAAAAATACGGAAAAATTTGAATTTTTTTTTTCAAAATCATACTTGGGATATAAATTTTTATCCATACTGAATATTGTGTCCAAATTTCAAGAAGACTGAATAAAATTTGAGAAAGTTATTGCAGTTTATAAAACTTTGACATTTGGGTTAACCAAAAGTTGGACGCCGACGACGACGACGACGACGACGGAATCTATGGTCGCTATGTCTCGCTTCGCGACATTCGTCGCAGGCGAGACAAAAAGACTGTAACAACTTATGAGAGTGTGCCAGCTCAATTCATTTATAATGCATTTAAATTTACAAGTACATTTATGTCAATTTAGAAACTCTATTGGTTTGACTTTTCATATTTTCAAGAACACTGCTTGTCTTAGATTTCAAATCTCCCTCCATTTTTTTCAATTATTTATTGAAAGCAACCTACGTGCACTAACTAATGGAGTATTCAACTAGCGGTCAACTGCAAAGGAAATAGTGCAGTATTCAACTAGCGGTCAACTGCAAAGGAAATACAGGAGTAATCAACTAGCGGTCAACTGCAAAGGAAATAGAGGAGTATTCAACTAGCGGTCAACTGCAAAGAAAATAGTGGAGTATTCAACTAGCGGTCAACTGTAAAGGAAATAGTGGAGTATTCAACTAGCGGTCAACTGTAAAGGAAATAGAGGAGTATTCAACTAGCGGTCAACTGCAAAGAATATATAGGAGCATTCAACAGTGGTCCG